TCATCCACAGAAATTGTCGTGACCACCTGCCTTCGGAGAATCACTGTCCCCTGGTGTTTTCATAGCGTGCATATTACAGAGGCTCCCCCAAAACGGATATATGAGAAGTGTGATTTAAATGGTTGTGAAACTTGCCCCACCTTGGACTAAGTTTACACTTTCTCTGCGGACGAGAGTGTGAGCAATAAAAGCTTTGGTAGTTACGGGGAGTCGTTTACGCATCTCTGTTGCTCAGATTATATGGGCGAGTTCGCTGTTGTCGTATAGCTATATCCAAGCGATCCCGTGGGTCTGTAATTGAATAGGGTGATGAGAAACCTTTAGCGGGCAAGATTATACTTTCTGAACAATCACGGTAGACTGGCGGTGTTGGATGAGGTTCCTCATGTTCGGCGATATGTACTGGTTCCAATTCTGGGGCGGAGGTGTCGGATGTCGTTGACTTTAGTAACCACGCGGCGTAGGGAAAAATTTCTTGTTTGCCATCTAGATGAACTACGTGGGCGTATTGTGGGTTACAGGAGATGAGCTCCACTCCCTCTACCAGAGGGTCTTCGTTGCGTTTCAAAGAATCCGTACAAGAAACTTAGAATGGTTCAGGTGCAGCACGCTTTCGGTACCTAACTGTCATGCCACCAGTTGGAAGCACGAGGATTGGGATTCTGCCTGGTTGCACAAGCTCAATGGAAGTCGCGTGGCAGAGGTCGGATTCGAACCACGTTCCGGTCAGTAAATTCGCGCTCTAACCACTGGGCCATCTCGCTGCATAGGGACCTTGACCCAGGTAGGCAAGGAGATACCGTTGGGTGATTGTCGTTTGAAAGGCAGGAGACGTTCATGTTGGGTACAGTTGATACCAGTAGATACCAGAGATCTGATACACCAGAGATCATCAAGGAGGATAAGCTTCCAATATGCAGCAGGCAAGTTTCGTGATTTTAAAGGGAGAGAGAGAGAGGGAGAGACGGATGGTTCTCCAAGAGGTAGAATTAGATTGTTCCACTTGACCATTTCAACATGGATTATGTGTAGCGGCGTGACTAGCGGGAATGCCTCTATCGCACAAAAAAATGAGTTCAGTTGACATTAACGTTGAACCACTATCTGCGTGAACGTAAGCTGGCAAGCCAAAAATTGTAAACAGTTGACTCAAACAATGAGTCGCAACAGAAGAGGAAATAGATGAGGCGCATAGATGAGCAAAAAGGGAATCGAGAGCACTCATCAGTGGTTGTTAAGGGGTACTTGTTACGAGTGTTGGAGGGAAGTGGGGGCGTTAAAGTCACTAATAAGGCGTTCAAAAGGTTGTGGCTTTGGTAAGCTAACCACGAAAACAGACAAAATTCAGTTTGAGTTCGGAGCATGTGGAATAGTTTGAGACCATACGTCGGATATCGCTGACTGAGAAAAGGTTTTGAGGCGAACAAAATGGGCAAACCTTGTGACCCCGTGATGGAATAAAATTTAAGCATTTGAAGTGTTTTCTGTCTCAACAAGGCTTACAGGATAGGGGTATCAGCAGCGCGGTTGTCCGTTCCCGGTCTATAGACGACGTCGTAGTTGTATCCCGTCAACTCAACTTTCCACCGTTCAATCTTGTCATTGTTTTTCTCCTGTGTTGGCTCCCGTACACTAAGGCGATCGAACGTTGACCCGTAATCAGTTCAAAATGCCTTCTGGGGAGATGATGACACCATTTGTGGATCGCTTCGACGATAGCAGATTCTTCTTTTCGACAGCAGAATGGTTTTTCTCGCTTGCGGTCAAGTTCCTGGACAGGACGCTTACCCTGGCTCAGGGATGCACCAATAGTGATGTCGGACCCTTCAGTTTCGACGACGAGAGAGATGCTGTGACCGATGGTAACGACCATCGCATTCTCCATTTCTGGTTTAAGGTTTTCAACTGACACTCCAGAACCGGAAATATTCTGTTTTTAACCAAGGGACGAAATTTATCAGAAAACGCTGGTATCCACTGTGAGTACTAGGTGAACAGGTCCACGGCTCTTCAGCATGATTTTCTGTTCTGTGGAGTTGGGAGTTTTTTATAGGGCGAATGTCTTCTGGGTCAGGTTCGCTAATACTTTTGGAGACCTTGTAACCAAGATGAGTATTCTCTTCAGTGTGTCGTTCAAAGTACTATGTTTTAGTGATATCAAGCAAATGCCTGAGATTGTGGTCATGTTCATCTCTCATCTCACCGCATACAATGACGTTATCAACCAGCCGAATGTGTCTTTCACCTGTTCGACTTTGGTTATATTGTTTAGCGGTCGTTAAAAACACGCGACCCCGTTTGTCACTCCGAAAGGAATGCGCCGAAACTGGTGTAGGTTCCCGCCGGCTTCGAATGCTGTGAATGGCTGTATGACTTTTTTGAAACCTAATGATATGCACCCTGAAGGTCCAGTGTACTGTAGGCTGTATAACCTGTGACGGTTTCAATAATTTGACCTAGTCTTGGCAAAAAAATATGCGTCAAGTTAGCCAAGGCAATTGGTGACCTGCCTGTCGTCTATGACCATTGTTTCTTGTGGTGACCTGCCTGTCGTCTATGACCATGTGTTTCTTGTGGCTCGTATTGCACGCCACGAGCACTGGCGTTCTCATTGGGGAATTTGATGTTTCGATCATGTTATCGGCGAGCGTTCGGTCCACTTCGATTAATGTGAATTGCTCGTCTTCCGGTGCACGACAGTTAGATTTTGTGGCCATCAGTTTACAATTCGCAGTAAGATTGGTGAATAAAAGCGGGGATTCCAGTTTTCCGGATGTTACGCCACATACAGTTAAGGTATCCTGTTGACCACCGAATGGAATTTCAACTTTATCATGTAACCCCATGGAGTCATGAAGAACGTCTGCACAGATGTTCTTAGTACACGAAGTTTGAAACGTTCGTATGTAGCATCCTTGTGCTAAATGGACACGAGGCAATAATCTTTGGTAAAACGTGAATGTTTTGTCAACGCCATGGTTATCACAGCATCGTACGGAAATATCGCCCGGTTATGAATTTGTAGGACTGATCAAGAAGCCCCCGTGCTTCCATCGGTAGCATGGCAGCCAGGCACCGGAAGTGTGTTATAGCCGAAAGACCTATAGGTACCGGACCAATGAGTCCATCGTTTCATGCCATCTGGCGAATGAGGATCAGCATAAAAAGCCGTAGGTCGGAGAATATGATCCATTTTATTAGAAGATTAAATTTTTGCGAGAGTCGAGCAGTTCCAGGTCGAAATTAAAACGAAGAGACAATAGAAGGGCGTAATGTTGTATGGGTGCGAGACATGGCCTCTGCGGGTAGAGGATGTGAGGCGTCTTCAGGTTTTCGACCACCGATGCCTCGGAAGCTTGGCTTGTTGTGGATGGCGTCAGCGTATCAGCAACGAGGCGATTAGAAATAGGTATTTGGTTGTGCTGCAGGCACCTCAATCCGGGACAACATCCAGCATCATCGACTACGATGGCTCGGTCATGTGCTACGCATGCCGAAACACCGTCTACCGAGACGAGTGTTGTTCTCCGTGCCTCCTTCAGGATGGCGCAAACCGCGAGGTGGACAGCACATGACTTGGCAGAAAGGCGTGAAAGAGATCATGAAGAGTTTGGGTGTTGTTGGTGTTGTACGCCTCCCAGGATGGGGTCCTCGTGACTCCGTCTGTGCTTGGCTGGAGACGTTGCAAGAAATGGCGGCTGATCGATGTACGTGGCGTTCTTCCTGTCAGTTTCTTTCCAAATTGTCTGATTGAGCGGTTGGAGGTGTAGGCATCTCAGTATGCTTGACATAGTCCAGCACTAGGTCCCCTCCCTCACCCGTTTTTTTCTCACTAGACAAACCTTATGGTTGTACGGCAGTGAAGCATCAGTGGCAACACTGATGTTGCTGTCCTTGATGATGATGGTGAATGTACGCTTTAATCATCTAATAACGGCAGTACATGAGCTTGAAATATAGAGTAAAAATTACTAGTTAATGATGTATGAAAAGTACGATTTACATAATCATCACAGACGCCTAGTCAAACAGCCTGAGCACCGACCGTGAATCCTAGTGGACACGGAAGGGTGAGAAAGTGGGAGACCAAGAAAATGAAAATGCCCGAAGAATTCCAGTTGTTCTGTGACCTCACCCCCAAATGCTCAATCCGACAACTGATAAAGAAACTATCCTCTCCCGCAACGTCTTTAGCAAAGCCCAGGAGGATCACGGCGAACTCATCCTGGAGCGTAGACCGCACAAACAACGTGGACTCTTCGTGGTCACCTCCATACCCTTCTGCTTAGTCGTATCCGCTCCACAGTTTGTACCCTTCTTAACTCAGTGTGTATACCACGTAATCAAACCTACGCAGTTCACGATGCTTGGTGTATTCCTCAACTGAAGTAACATTCACACGAACGGACAAAACGTTTCTAATTTCCATTGGAGGTTTCCTTCTGCAAGCGAAGCTAGTGGATGCCAAAAAATCGAGAAGCACTGTACAGCTGTTTTAGCCCTACCGAGAATCCTTAGCTGTACGCACCTCACAAAAACTCCAGAGAGTTTCAAACACTCTACCTCCCGGCTCGTTACCGCTGGGCTACGAGTGACTATTCAGTAGTGGGACTGTAAATTTACATTTTAACTCGGAGTTGCGGAAAGAAGGATATAAAAGATGATAGGAAGGGTTTTGGCGCTGTTTGCCTTCCGGGATGGTGCCCACATAATCACCTTTATGCTTTGCTTGCGACACTGAACGATATGGCGGCTAACCGATGTCAGTGGCGCCCTGTCTAGATCGCCTGGCTGGATGTTGGAAATGGTCGGCTAGCTCTATGTCTGACTCTCTGTTCCGTTTTTTCTTTTCATTATAAGGATTATCAAATAAATTGGTATGGTTTTATCGCTGTGAACAACCAGTGTTCTCATCTGGCGTTGCTGTCAATGATGACAATTGCTTTTCTAATCAGAGTCCACCTCGTAAAACTGCATACCACACGAAGGATGATATTTTCATCCGGATTTAGAAAGCCACAACAACTTTTGTGAACCTGCGTCACTGGTGACGTAGGCGTGACATCAGCTTCTCTGTAAAGGGTCGAGTTTACAATGCTGCGGTGCGCTCCATATTACTATACGGATCAGAAACCTGGCTGTTGCGCGCCGAGAACGTTAAAATACTTTCAGTTTTTGACCATCGATGTCTTTGGAGTATTGACCGAATCTGGTGGGAACACCGGATTAGCAAAGCTGAGGTTTGTCGAGTGGTATTCGGGAGATATAACTCACCCTCGATAGATGAACTGATCACACCGCATAGGTTGCACTGGCTTGGCCACGTGCTGCGTATGTCAGTCGACCGACTTCCTCGAAGGGCTCTTTTCGCACAACCATGTGAAGGGTGGAAGAGAGCCAGAGGCGGCCAAACAATGACTTGGCATCGGAGTATGAAAGCCATTACCAGCAAATTCGGCTGCGCTGGTCATTGCCGTCTTCCCGGATGGGGACCACGAGACTGGCCATTTCACTGGTTAGAGACATTGTCAGACGTGACCCAGTCGCGCCCTCAATGGCACTCATGCATGCAAGGTATTGCCTTCAATGCAAGGCTCCCTTTGCAACCCCCCACTTAACACTCCACATACAGCACTAATTTAGCTCCCGCCTCTAATGCGCAGCTACTTCCCCCACCTCCCCCGAATCATTGGTGAACGAAACTGTGGCAGCTACAACCACCGTACAAGTACGCGGTTATTACAGCTGACAATGATGATGATGCAAACTACTTTTCGACGGTTTCGATGTCACTGATACTTTTTAGATTGTTTGAGCACAGGAGCTCGTACAGCATATTTCCTCTTCCTGAGGCATCTCTTCCATTTCGATCAATTTCCAACCCTTATCTTCGCCGGAGACTGGTGGCGCGCCTATGTTTGAGCTTTTCTACGTCTAGCTNAGATACTCTTTCCCCACTGCTTCCTTTGGTCAGTGTTTCCACCTTCCAGTTTCTTTCCCATCGTTGTCTACCTGCCACAGGCTATTATGCAATCGCCCGCAAACTTGCGTGAGTATATTGTTGCCTATTCTCTGAGTGCAAAAGCTGCATCTACACTTCCACACGACCTGACTGGGTTCCCCACAGACACTGTCCCTTTCTCAGCTGTTTCGGAGCTGGCAACTTTTCTCCTGTCAATGACGTGTTTGGCGAGGGTGCTAGTTAATCGGTGATACTACTCTTCCATGTTTTTTCGTTCTCGTTTCCTTACAAGGCCCATGCAAATAAAATTAAATTGAATTTCATGAACCTAAGTCCTGACAGTTCAACTGACGACCTGTCAACATTGCTTTCTTTTGGAGGTCTCCCCAAGCCTGATACACATAACCTTGACCATTTTTCTCTTGCGTGGTATCACACTCCGTACAGTCACATCATACCCTGGAGAGGAGACTTCCACATCCACATGGTGGCTTGATTAACATTCCACTGCGTTTAACCCAGATGATCTCAAATTGTCTTCTCCATACCCAAATTCGCCATTCGAAAAGATGATACAGTTCCCAGTATTCTCGAAAGGCCCTTTTGAAATCACACCAGTCTTCACTTTTTGTCTCCCCTAACCATTTCTTGGTTTCCGCAGTCGTACATCTTTCGTTTCTCCAACCAAGACTATCCATCAATACGAATAATTCCAGTACTTTTTGTAGTCAAAGGAGAGGAAATCTGTCTCCGCTAAACAACTGCTAAACAACTTATTATTATCTATAATGAATAGGAGTAAAGCCGAAGCTAGGAGATATTTGCGGTCCGTGATAAACCACTTAGGGCAGGGCAACTGGTATCGATTGTACGCCAAAAGTGCAGTCTAACCACGACTTTATGGCCTTCCAAAAATCCATAAACCAAATGTCCCGGTGAGACCGATAGTAGACGGAATAGGTTCCCCACCGCATGAACTGGCCAGATTCTTGGCCGGTATTTTAAAGCCCCTCACTGAGAAATCTAGTAGTTACATTAAGAATTCAAATGATTTCGTCAACAAAGTAGCGGGTTGAACCAGATGACATCCTTGTAAGTTTCGATGTGAATTCGTTATATACGAATGTGCCAATAGGGGATTCTTTAGAAATAGCCAAGCGACTGGTGTTAGCGCACCCCACGTTTTCAGAAAGAACACAGCTTACGGTAGATGAAATAGTGGAAGGCATAAAAGCATGTCTGAACCTCATCCACTTCGTTTTTGACTCAGTGGTTTATACTCAAGAACAAGGTCTAGCAATGGGATCTCCAATATCCCCGGTTTTGGTAAATATATTTATGGAAGAATTTGAACAGTGAGCTTTAGCCGGATTCCCCTACCCACCCAAGATATTCTGGCGATATGTAGATGACACTTTCGTCGTCTGAATGAACTAAGTCCACAGATCAAATTTAGTATGGAGATGGAGTCAACTTCGGGTACACTGGCCTTCTTAGACTGCATGACCTAAGGTTGGGGGGAGACTAAAGACCACAGTGTACGAGAAGCCAACCGACGCTGGCGCAGTTTTGAACTACTCATCTGCCCATCCGAAATCGGTATTCGCCAGTATTGCGTCATCAATGTTTAGACGCGTAAGGGCCCTGTGCATAGAAGAAGGTGATCGGACAGCGGCCCAAATTGAAGTAAAGGGCAAACTTCGGGGTAGTGGGTATCCAGCTAGCTTGATTAAGCGCCAATTGCGAAGGGTGTTGTTACCGGTAGGGAAACCCAACAGGGAATGGATCGGGACCGCTGTAATCCCATATAAACCAGGGACATCGGAGGCCATTCGAAGAATTTTAAACACAGCTAACATAAGAGTAGCTTTCCAAAGGGGGAACACTCTGCGCTCTGCACTGGTGCAAATAAAGGATCGCCTCCCGGCAAACAGGACTAGGGACTGTGTCTACAAAATAAAGTGTAACGACTGCACCAACGTCTATATAGGACAGACGGCCAGGGAACTGCACATCAGAGTCAGAGAGCATAGTAGAAAAATAAACAGGCCGCCGAGAAACGCAGATGAATATCAAGCGTTACTGAAAGACTCGGCAATCGCGGAACACGCACTGGACACGGGGCACAAAATAGACTTAGAAAATGTTGAGGTTTTGGGGACTACGGTCCTCCTCACAGAGACTGATAGCAGAGGCGGTAGAAATCGCCGACCATACCAGCGTTAACAGAATGGAAAGCGTGGAACTGGCAAGTGTGTGGAAAACGGTCTTAGGTCATTTGAGCTAACACGTGTTGGTGGGCGATCACCAGAGGGAAGAGTGGTCATCACCTGAACTCCACTTAACCTTACGCACCTCCCTTCCCCCCAACTGAATTGTCGTAACATTCACGTCCCCCGATGATCAAGGATCTACCAGTGGCACCCGGGGTGAATCATCAATTGAAGCACCCTGAAGTGGAAGATTAAGGAACGAAAAGCGATCGGAAGTAATTTGAAACTCATCCAACCCACCAATTCAAGATTTTGATACCCACGCTAGCCGACAGGAGCTGATCTAGTGTGAAGAGGACTTACTGATTGGTTCCCCGTCTGTCTTTTAACCTGGCCAATCTGGTGACCTGTTCACTTGGCCTGATGAAGCTTTTGTGTCAAAAGCGAAACGTTGCCCAAATAAAAACTACTGATTGTCTGAAACGATGACTTCTCAGTCGGTTCCAAACTTTTTCCAATTGATTGAAAACTTATTATTCCCTCAACCGTGTTAACTTAGAGGTCTTATTGAAAGCACTGTTCAGTCATTGCGTTCCAAGCCCCGAACATTATGATGGTCTCAGTCGTTATTGATATGTTATTTTTCACAGCCGTTAGCGGCAGGCCAACTATCCAAAGATTGCGCTACCAGCTGTTCACCGATATCGTCGGTGTCATTGTTGTTACCGTCGGGCCGACATCCTGGGGTCCTCTGCACACAGATGAGGCGTGGATTGACTGCCTTTCCCCCTACTGCCGCGGTTAGTTCACTTCAGAGTTTTTCCAGTGCGGTCTGTATTCTGTTTCGTTTTATTATTTTCATCCTTTTTGTGAGAGCAATCACTGCTTCCAAGTAATTATTCCTAGTAGTCATACCGCTCGTCATTCCTCCCAAAACAATCAAACCATGGAACTCCTACCTAACTTCCAACCACTTCCTGTCAGCAACTTCACTTCTTAACCACTGCCCCATCTCTAGTTCATCATGACCGTGGGTACTTACTTTTTTGATAGTCTTACATCACAACCACGATTAACGCCCATAACATTTCAGGTTTGAGAGTTGTGGACACTTCTCAGAGAATACCGCTGTTGTTGACCTTCAGCGGATAGACTTCTGAACCGTCCAAACTGTAGCTGCATGTTCATATCGTCTCAAATCCGAAGTTTCAATGGGCAACGGCTCATCTGCCATAAGCGGCGAGCCACTTGATCCCAAACTGCTCCAAGGCAGCTTACTGGTGGACCAAACCTTCATGTACGACGTGACATCACACCATACAATTCAACGGGCATACTCTCATCAGCAGATTATAAAATTTTCTCAAGTGGATCGTCAGAACGAAGGCCGTCTGAGACTGAACCATAGAGCAAATTTGCAGTTTTGTCTCGAGCGGCATTTCCAGTTGACTGACCTGCTGTCGAACGCATCGGTAAGTAGTGAAACGTTAACGTACCATTTTCAGATCCCAACCAAATGCCGCCACCCATGCATACTTCGAGTCCAGCGCTCTCTGTCCGATCCCATTAATAACAACCTTTTCTTGTTAACCGAACCCTGTCTTCCCCTTAATTTCCTCATCGCCTCTTGCACGGACGCGGATCTGTTATTGGGAGCACGTTCAATCCTGAATGCCTTGAACTTCATCCATACTAATGTATGTTGAACTCCTTTCGTTGGTTTAGGTTTTCAGCTTTCCATATCCCACAATAATGTCCGAGCCACAAGCATATTTGTCAGTTCCGATACAAGCTGGAAACTGAGTGGCTTTGAATTCGCCTTACCATTCTCAAAGATGGACACTACCGTTGTCGAACTACTCGAGCGCTTAGTCAGCGATAGTGCAGAACCAGAGGAGGTAGGGTCTGCTTTTCAATCTACGCACACCGTCTTTCAGACCGCGCTCGCATTTCATCCGGCCTATCCTTTTTGCTATGACATATTTGCGTTTTCCCGCCTGTTTTCTAATCTAGTCAATAAATATGGGAAAGGTGAACTGTCTACTTCTGCATGAACTGTGTTTTCTCCAGACTCAGAATTGTTCAGCGACTTTTTACAAGTTCTACACAAATCGTGCATGCATTCGCAACCACGGGCTCGTCTGCCACCTGCCCAACTTATGGTTCATCCGGTTTTTAGGTACTCTCCCCTATCTATTCGTTCATTACGAGTCTTTGTGTAGACATCCACTTGCATCATCCGTCAATTTCTTTGAGAATTACATGGCCTACTCGGACGAAGAAAAGGTTAAATTTTTTCAGTGAGTTTATCTCTGTTGCCTAATTTTTCGTTTGTATCACCAGAACAAGTAGGCTCATTTTCGGTTCCGTGGCTGGTTGATTTATTTGAAACCGCAACGACTCAGAGGAAGCCTAGGATCATAATATATAAAAATAATATCGTTCAGCTGCAACACCCTTTGGGTGCCTAGCTTCCATGCCATCTGAAGGAAGCACAGGAGCTGGATGCTACCAGATCGCCCAGGCCTAGATAGAAGTAGAGATGCAGAGGTCGGGTTCGAACCACGGACCCTCCGGTCAATAAATTCACACTAAACACTAATCCATCCCACCTAGGATGTTCACAAATTTACCTAATTCGGTATACCTCAATGACCATAGACTAAACATGACCATAGTCTAGTGGCACATAGCCGCCGTTGAGGATGTTTGATCTCTATCACGTATTCAAGCATTTTGCTATGTTTCAGCTCCTTTAAAGAGAAAATTGCAACTCAACTTCCAATCGAGGTTGTTTGTCAGAAATTAGTCCCATTTTGCTTGCACAGTACCGTCTTCCTGGATCCCCCGAGCCAATTTTTGATTGTGCAGCTTCTGTATCCGTACAATGGTAAGTGTTGTGTTCTATTGCTTCACCCGTATCACTAGAGTGGGAAGAGTCTAAGCTTACTCACATAGTTGAATTTCGGTATGAGCCGTTGAGGAATAGATATATGGTTCATCGGGTTAGTTGCCACTTGAGTCTGGCAAAGGTCAAAGTGTACAAATTGTGGAGGTCAAGCTTAGACGTCACCAAGACATTGGCCAATCAGAATACAACTGGGAAACACAGGCGATGGAACCACTCACTGGGGCAGCCAACAACAATCGGAGGTCACTCCCCTTCGCAAGCATGTATATAAAAACACGTGCACACCACTACTCATAGCAAAACCAGCAACGCGCAGATACACTGCTTCACAACCACAAACCAATGATGTCATCTCGATCAGTGATGAAACTTCTTCAGCAAAACTGCCAATCTCAACAAACTTGACGACCAGCTAAACGATCTGAGTTACCAACCTTCTCTTCCATATTGAACACTTCGTCACTGTTCAAATCGTATTATCTTCAGCATAACTGAAATGTCCATGATTATCAAGTAATATAATGCTATAAAGGATAAATCGTTTAGCCGTAACATTCCTCCGGTGCCTAGCTACCACGCCACCCGAAGGAAGCACGAGTGCTGGGTACTGCCAGGTTGCCCAAGCCTAGACAGGGGAAGTTGAGATGCAGAGGTTGAGCTGGAACCACGGACCTTCGGGTCGGTAACTTCGCGCTCTAACCACTTCACCTTACCAATGCTAACACAAGGCCAATGCGCTCGTTCTTCTAGTACAGCTTCAACATATCTGAAAGAACGCCTGTCACTTTGTCATATATCGGCGTGGAACAAATGGTGAAATGATATTATGGGCTAAGTGCATGTAGGCTTCAAGTTAGCAAGAAAACGATAAGTGTATGGATTTCTGTAGACGACTAATGGTTCTTGAAAAGGTGCTCGAAGTGGAACATACTGGACTAGAGTACTAATGACACATTGGCTTCATCCGGAACTAGAGTCTACTTGGTCCCCTTGTTCGAAAGATTTTTGGTAATGCCAATGAACACTTTTGCTTTTGCTTTACTGAGACTAATAATGGAGAAAGTGCAGTTAAAATGAAACGACTGACTGAAGCTTATGAGGACTTGCTTTATTCACCCAAGAGGACTAATTTCTCATTGCATGTTACCTGACGATATTGAAGCGGATCCTCGTTGAAGAGGTCAGGTGAGGTACATGACCAGGCACCCGATAAATTCTAGCTCTAACTGTTTGAAATAGTGGTGGGTCAACCTATACGCAGTTTTCTAAGAACAATTTTGGAAGGCCTAAGTAGTATTTCATCGAGGGTATGAATATCATGTTGCAAAGTGACTCTCAGTTGGTTTCCCAGTACCCTTTTAGCTAAACCGTTTTAATTTTTTTTGTAGATTCCCAACGGCCAACTGCTAATGTCACCCCGGGGAATGAAAATATCAGCTGGTTGTCCTACACGGCTTTTAAAAGATATGTTTCTCCTCTGATTTTGGGCAAGTTCCGCATCCGGGAGCGGCAAACTCGTATAACCTTGCTGGAGCGTTTCACTGGCTACGTGCACTTGTTTGAAACCAGTGAATTAAGAGATACTGTATTACCTGAGGTGAGTAAACGAGCACTACAGTTCGTTCCTGTTGAGTGAACCTTTTTGTTTCTTTCCGATCTGATGGATGTCCCCCATTTGAGTTGGCTCGGAAACACAGACAAGACTTAGTAATGGCTAGGGACGTAAGCAGACAAACTAAGACACAGACAAACAGATCAGGTTGTCCACCTCTCGGTCACTTTCAAACAGCACGAAACTTGGAGGGAGGTGCTCTGCAAGGCTGACGACTCTGATATACGAAATACATGTCTAATCCTGCCTAACCTATGAGGCGTGCGTGGGTCGACCGTAGGAGAGCTCCTTCTTCTTAAAACCGTCTGACATACCTCAGTATTGCTGTCCCGGTGTTCCCACCAGACCTGACAAATGCTTCAGAGACGCGTGAAGTCGACGTTTCTGTCCTATATACCAATATGGATCGCACCGCCACGGTGTACGCTTTGACCTTGACAATCACGCCGAGGTCATAGGTGTCGGAGGTCGGCAAACGCTACCCTGGCCTTCCAGATTCAACAAGTGTGTCCAGGCAGTTCACCAGAAATTAAACAACTGTCGAGGCGGACAAGCTTGCTTGCCACGTCGATTGGCTGGTCTCCAAATATGAAGTTTGGGTTTAGTCCCACACAACCTTCTGGCATCACCTTGAAGTTTGCAAATGTGAAGCGCTCACCAAACCATGCAACTGAATTATTTAGTTTACTTAAAATGGGTCTCATCTTTAAAGGACCTGATCCAAAGAAAGCAAGTACCGTCTGCGTACTCAGTTTCTGTGGGCGAACGTCCCAGGAGCATCTCGACACCCGGTGTTTCAGGCAGACTTTTAAGCAGCATGTCAGTAACGAATTTGAAGAGGATTGATGAGATAGGGCAGCTTTATCTTACTCTACTGGACTTCGTGGACCAAGGTTACCGGACGCATATTTGTGGTTCATATTCAACTGAAGAATATTTATGAACCAGAGGTTCAGTTGAGATCTGAGTGAGTTTCCTGTTGATTGTATCTTACTTTGCAGATGAGTGTCTATCTCGAAGCCTATTGACTCACTTAAAGAACACTGACGGATTGCCAGGATGTTTCATCTAAAAAAACCATCAGTTTCTTTGCTTTCGAAATCAAAAAGCTAATTCTAGCTGATTCATTTTGTTCTCTATAGAATTCTTTGGAACAGTTGATACAAACGCTCTTTGAAAGTATCATTGGTGTATCTTTGTAATGTACTACTCATAAGGTTGCTGAAAATCCGTCAACAACCCACGACCGGTTTCGCCCTTTTTGGGGCTCATCAGGTAGGCGCAGTCCCCGGGTTTCCGTCAACCTTATGTTCTACTTAAAACCAAATTGCACGAAATTAGCGAACATACACTCATTTGCAAACTACTTTGGTTTTTTGGAGAGACTCACCCGGAACCTAGCTGAGTGTCTCGTTTATGAATCTCTCCAAAAAACCAAATTAGTTTGCGAATGACTGTATATTCGCTAATTATCATTCGTGGCGTTTACGAAGCACTTTTAGCCTAGAATCCTACTTTCTGAATCTCCAGGCTTGTTCGCAGCGCTACAGACTCGTATGGCGATAATGTCGTATCCATACTGCTCCCCAACACGCCACTACCGGCTTCTGTTTTTCGCTTTACTCGGCTGTTAGCTTGATCGCTAATCCAGGCCACAGTCAATCCGTCGTTACCTTTAACACGTATTCCGGTGTGCCGTCGTGTTTACATTAGATACTTATATGCATGTTTTTATCTCCGGCAAAATCAGCCATTTGTTAGTTATTTTGCTTTATTATGGTTGGTCAACGTTCGCAAGACCTTTGAGCGTGGCCTCTAATCCCCATATATCCATGCGATCTGAGCCACTAATATTCACCTTCACAGCAGAACGATTCATGCGCGTTTCTTATTATTCTTTTCAGCAATAAATAGTCCGGATTTCTCCAGTAAACAAAAAATGTCTGCGATATTGAGGAATATGCTTAGGTCAGGGCGCTGCCTGATTGTTAGTTTGTTCGCCGATCATGACAGTTGAATCGCAAATGTCTCCTCACCCATCGAGGGGATATCATCAGTGCGGAGTTCAATAGGTGAATTCCATTCTGTGCTTATAGGGTTTCTAAACGATATCTAATAACTCTCACGTGACTGGTTGGTCACGAGGTGGCTTTCGCGTAATTTGATCAGCCAATTTGGGATCTGTGTTGCACTGTGATTTTATCTGGTTGGTTCGCTGCATGCCTTTAATTCGGCAGTTCTCGTCTTCCGTGGTGATAGATCCGTTTTTCTCTTACGTTATGATCTGGTTTTCCTCCACTCCATTGGTTGACTGGATAACCTATTTTTAGTAGTTGGCTACTATTAGGTTGTTTGGTTTCTCACGCCATTCGGAGTCCAGTAAGTGTAAATTCTTTGCAATCCAACTGCCAAGCTCGGCTGACAGACAAACAACAACAAAAAGCCACTCGATTGACTACTTGGAGCCATCGTGCTTCCTGGGTCCAGTTAAGTATGAAATTAAAGGGTTTCAAAACGGACAGTCAACGATTAAAAGCTTCAGACCTTTTCAACGAGAGGTAGTGTACTTATTATGTTGGCGGTGTTTATTTGGATGGTTCTCGTGCACTCACTCATCCATAATTGTGAACGCTTTGCATCACTGTAGCAATTTTCTCCGCCCTTCACTTTGATACACAAAATTTATATCTTTGATTCCAGGTTTGTCTCGGTCTTTTCGACCAACACAGTTTACTTTCACAACTCAGTATACGGGCGTTGGGTGAACTTTCGCGGCTGCTGGGTGCCGTTGAAACACTGAATGTTCTTCGTCAAACTGAAATTCGGCTGACTCATCAAGGCATATTCACCACCGCCATAAAGCACTCCACAAACTCACAATGGCCTCGGACTCACCTTTTTTCCGAGGCTGCACCCAAGATTGGCCGTCAGCAACGCGAATTGCCCGCTTCTGAAAAGCGACGCACCGATGGTGGAACATTGTCTCTAGCTCAGATGGCTGCTTTGTCGGGCAGCTACGAACCGAATTCAAATCCAATACTACAACAAGCAGCTTTGGAGATACAGTAGGTACTTTATCGGGATTTTCTTTAGTCTGTTGTTTATTAGTCAGTATGCCTTATTCTCCATTCAGTCCCATGTGGCTGTGGGGAGCGACATTTATTTCGTCAGCTTCAACACTCACCTTCACACGACGAGCGAACCTTCGCGGTCGATCCTCTTTCAAGCGTACTTGTGCAATCTGTGAATATCGTCGACTTACTCTGAGGTACTCAGCGCGTACCATCTACCCGAGGTCCATGGGCGGAATTGGGAGTGACGGGCGAGTCCGGAAGCAGATATAAGTTGCACAGTTGCACTGAAATACGACTGGTGTTGCACCGCTGTTGTGGTGCACGGTGCTTACGGCCTACTTTGGACTAACGTTCTGGGGTCATGCGTTTATCATCGCGGACGGTGGCTATCCTCGGAAAGGGTGCGTTATCAAGAGCAGGGCTGCGCCTAAAGGGAGCTCCTTTAGTGTCCTCAAAACGACATTGGTTTGAGTGTCCAAAGTCCACACCTAAATGTGAAGTTTTTGATGATATCATGCAGCTGTTCTATATGCTGTTCGAAAACAGGCATGACGTCTTTGCCTATGGGGGCGATATGGCCGAAGTGGTTAGAGCGCGAATTTACTGACCGGAAGGTCCGCGGTTCGAATCCGATCTCCGCCTCTCGACATCCCCTGTCTAGGCTTGGGCAACCTGGCAGTATCCCAGCCCTCGTGCTTCCTTCGGGT